GGCGATCAATGTCATGTATATCAAGTCCCTCTTAGTGCAGATCGATTACTATCGACCAAGTTGCAATGTGGCCGCTAGTCTAGATGACTCGACATTGAATGCACTATGTTGAGATAATATGGTGATTGGAGGTAGTCAACAGAAAACTTACGTGTTTTTCCTTGCTTATTATTGCCTTTGTAATGTAATTTGTTTACGGAAATATTTCTTTTAAATTATGATGTATTGGGGAAATTATAATCAGCTTCTAAACTTCTGATAAATATTACGAATATTTATTGAGCTACTTAATTAAAAGTTAGTAGTCAGCGTGTATGTATCTGTTTAGTTTTCAATACGAAAGGTTTGGATTAATTCAATAGAAAACTATCCTCCATTAAAATGCTAACAAGAGTTACTTAATGTGATTGATTGAACAATCATAAACATTAGAAATTTCGTAATTCTCAGTACTGAGTTTAAACCTGAGTCATATTTATTACTTTGGAGTTAATAAAACTCTGTTATTGATTGAGATCATAAGCCGATTGATGTTAGACCATCACAATTGAAAACCTGGAAGCACTGGACGGCCGTTTCCTCCTATTATGGGACTCCTCAGCAATGCGCATCCACGATCCCGCGAGCCGGATTCGAACCCAGGGCCTTCGGTCTCGCGCGCGAATGCTTAACCAACTGGACCACTGAGCCGGCATCCAATGGTGATGGTTTCTAACATCAACCAATCCACGAAATTGCGCGACCAACTTCCGTTGTACTGAGGTAGATACCTGTCTCTACCCGACAAGGATCCCAATCAAAAACGTAACAATCTCCACAACCCCTATACTAGTAAAACTTTGTTAGTTTGATTTATACAAGCTACAGTCTTTCTCAGAACAGATTACTGTTAATCAATTGGTTGAATACATGATTTGAGAAACTAAACATTGTAAATACTAAATATCTTGTTTAGTAAGTGTGTTGAAGCCCACATCAACATTACAAGTTTCTTATTTCTTAAACCACGATTTCCTTCCCAAACTTTATTCTTTTGAGTATCTGGGATTGTCTAAAATGTTGGACTACACTACATTTAACTAATATCTATGTATGTATGCATTATAATGTAAGACTGATAAATAAGCCTGTTTTCAGACATAGATTGTAACCTTTATTTTATTAATTCATAACAAATATCCATGTCCTGCCAAATGTTGCAAGAATATAGTTATGTTGGCTGAGAAAATAGCAATATTATCAAGGTAACTACGGCAAAAATAAAAGATTCTTGACCAATAAAAGGTCTGAAAATTTCAAGTGCATCTTTAAGATCAATGATATGTCGTAGACATTGGTAGAACATTATACAGCATTGATTAAATTGATGAATGAAATGACAATCAAACTATTATTAAGGCATAGTTACAACTAGTTACTAAGGCATAAACATTCCGGATAGACAAGCCCGGATATATATAAATTAGTCACAAAACAATCCGTTGAAAGATTTCTCTATATTTATACATATATATTTCAAATTCTATCTTAACATATTACTAGTGTAAAATAGAAACAATGTAATTCAATGACTAATTTAACATCAATTCATTAACTTAGATGAATCTAGCTACTTGATAATATACCCATATTGAATAATACATTATGATAGATGATCTGTGGGTGAGAATGATAATGATTGGTTGTCTGCTTAGTCAGATATACAGATAGTCCGAGAGGTTTTAGGTGGATTGTGTCGGATAATTGTCGGTTTCCGGTGTGGAAATATATATTTACATTTTAGTCAGGCTAATCACATGTTCGTGATCATCTGATTTGTGTTGAATTCCTGTAGAATAGACATTGGGAGGGAATTTAATGTAGATATTCGTTTACGGTAAATTAACATGCCATACATATAGATGAAGTAAAACCAAGAATTATAACAATAGATAAGAATAAAATAATCTTTATTATTAAAAACTAAAATAGTTTACAATTATGTTACTTTTAAAATATTAAATTCCATTCTCATTAACTTTGCTTCACAGTCAGTCAACTACAACATAGGACCAGGCACATATAAGCATCGGTTCAAGTTGATATATCTCATTAGCACAACAAGATGAACACCAGATCTATAGATTATATTCATTGTTTTGCTTTTTTTGTTGCTATAATTCAACAGACATAATTTCTCTATTTTAATTAAGTTGTAAAATGAATACACGTAATCAATAATTAAATGTTTAATAATAAACCATGACCAGTGGACTTATTCCGTGTCGGGTAGAGACAAGTATCTAACTTAGTATAGTGGAAGGTGATGGCGCAATTAATTGGGTTGGTTGAGGTTAGACATTAACACCGTTGGATGCCGGTTCAGTGGTAAAGTAGGTTAATCGTTCGTGCGCAGGGCTGAAGGTGCTGGGTTCGAATCCCCCGAGCAGGGTCGTGGGTGCGCACTGTTGAGGAGTCCCACAACAGGATGGAACGGCCGTCCAGTGTTTCTAGGCTTTCAATGGTGGTCTAACACCAATCGGTTTAAGATCTCAATAATAAGTGTTAACTACTATATTCAATTTACAAGTTGCATTAACTAAGGGTGGATGGCCTAAGATGTGGTACCAATCGCTGAAGTTGTTTAATGTTGGCCTGAACAGTGTAGGAGTCTGTGTAGTTGATTGTGACCAGCAGTTCAAAAAGGGGTTCGGAATCTGTCTCAATGATGTTCGATCTTTGTATCCCCCTATTTATTGAGTCTTATAGTTATCTTATACTTTTGATTCCTTCTTCTCGAATCATATTATTTATTAACTATATTTCCTACATTGATTATGACTGAGTGAATAGAGTCAAAATCATTAGTTGGGTGGTGTTAGGCAGTCGACAAGTAGCGCTGGTCCCAGGTTAAGTTTATTATATCAAGCAACTGGCTTTAAAAGGTAGTCAATCCTATCCGACACTAAGATTAGGAAATATTGGGTTTGGATTGCAAAATGGTCGAATATTTTCACAGGATAGACATTTAATTAGCTTATTATTAACATTTTAGAAAAACTAATTAGTGATAGACCGGGAATTCCTAGACACATCGTGTGCTGTCTCAAACCCAAATGGTAAGTGAGAAGTGAAAACGAGATGTACTATTGGAATAGGTGAGTTGAGTATATGGCTATGGTCCTAGTCTACACATCGTTGTCCGAGTCAGTAAGGATTAAAACAATTTATACGTCAGTTGTTAAGTTTTGGCAATTAAACCTTTCTACTCATTTCAGTTTTTTTTTATTTCCGCAGTGAATCTGGTAAGTCATTTAGAAAGTATTATGTTATGGACCACAATTAGTCAATACTTTCTGAGATGACTGACTCGATACTGACTACGTAAATAACGCCTAGAGAGTTTGAAGCGGAAGCCACTGGGCTTGAGTCCCAATGTAAACATCAACACTGGGATAGAAGTTCAGATGACGAATAACAGATAGGGCGAACCTTGTGTCTTGGATCCCACTACTAGTCACTAACCTTGCATAAGAAATGAGATTTATGTAAAGTAAATAAACCTCTAAACATTTAGAGGAGAACTGAATAGAAAATTGCGTTAAAATATCTTATTGAGGAATTTCATCTTAATTTCTGGTAGACAGAATTCTTAATTGAATCCATAGACGTTAAAACAAGGTGATACATTTTACAAGAACTGAATGAATTACGTCTGTTTTAATTGCATTTAGAGAACAGACAATTTTCTTGAAATTTTGAGTTAGTTTATAGAAACGTTTTATAAAGATATTTCTATTCCACTAGGAAAAGAAGACTGATACTCTTTGATTGAAGGTAGGCCCAATACTAACTAGCGCCTAACAAAAAGACGGAACACAAGACCACTGACCACCAGTCTAAGATCGTTATTACATTTAATACAGACGTACCTTATGTACAAGCAGATCAGACTGCATCACACCACGAAATAGAGAATGATTGTTGTTTCGCGTTCTTTTTTTCTGGTTTTAGGTGATTAAATGTAAATTTTAACTGGACTGGAATTGGCCCATTTCATACCGTTTATTTCTCCTCTTTGGAAACATGATGTATCAGTCTTCCTATTACGGAAACACCGGTTCCTATACGTTGTAGCATATAACAACTGATAGCCAGAAAATCAATCACAAATCTTAGTACAGTCCATAAGTTTCGTCAGACCACGGCATCTTCATTAGTTCTAATCCAACAATCCCACCTCTCCCCCACAAATTTAGGGTGTTTTATGATCTTACAACCCACTACATGTCTAAACACAGTAACAATGACCCCAATTTAGTGCTGAACAAAAGCATGTTGTGAAAAACCGAACTGTAACACTGAAGAATAAAACTGCTTAGTGTATCTTTCTTGGCGTAAACGTAACATCTATCATTTCAAAACGCTCGCGATATTGTAGTTATGGTACTTACTCAGCTTATTTATGTTCTCCATATATTATCTATTTAGAACAACACTGTGTTTACAATGCTTATGGCTTTCAAGGTATGTATTCAGAAAATAATGATGAACTCTAAGATGCCATCTCTGATTATGCATTTCGCTTGCACCTCACACCTCACAGTATTAATATATTTATGACATATTTACTGTCAAAACAATTAGTCAATCACATCTCACATAATCTACCCTCGTTTTTTAAATGTTATTATTATTTTCAAAATATATGATTACTATGTCTTGCTGCTTTGATTTTGGCAAATATCTTCGACCAAATGCATATCTACAAAATTGTATATTGTCCTTATCTACTCTCCAAATAGTCATGATTAATAACTATGTGATAAGATTGTCAAATGGTTAGTCTAATTCAACTAGTGTCAGTGAAGCTAATATACACCTATATGTACATAGGATACAAAATGTAGCAATCTTGTCATTATAATTTCAAATGGCAATTTTCAATGTATAAGAGTAAATGATATTGTCTACTATTTTAGACTAGGTAAATTTGAAGAAATAACCTTACTGGTTGATAATTTAATCAGTAAATTTATATTAAGATTAATCTTTATTGAAAAAGAAAATGCCAGTCAAAATGTGTCACAGTAAATTTAACTTCACTTACAGTAGATCAAGCAAACCGAAATAACGAAAAAAAGTTCTTTTTACATGAGTCTATTGTCAAAATGCAACAAAATGTTCTTAGTGTACATTAATTAAGAAAACAGCATTTCACTGGTAATAAACAAGACAAATTATTTGTCGGGAAATTAAAATAAAATTTGAATAAATATAAACTAGTAAATGAAGTCATAAACTGAAGATACAAACCGAAAATCAAATAAATTATTTACATTTACCTAAAACCTGGTAGGAAAAGTAGGCAAATTGAAAGCAGTATTTATTATAAGCTGGAATGTCTTTGAAAAAAAGAACTTATTATCACATAGAAAAGATTACTTCTTCTCATTCTCAATAATATGTAAACCCTCACTTAGAACAGATGACCATGAACTATCGTCAATTTTTATGAGAATAATTTCCACAGCATCTTCACGTACAATCAATTGTGACCGTTTATTATCTAGTGTGCCCGGTAATTTGTCAACATGAAGTCGATAATTACAGTCTTTTAAAGTATCAAGCCCATGAAATTCAAACAGAAAACCATCATTACTTAGATGAAATACTATTTCACCATTTGATGCTTTTTTGTAAAGTTTGGGAATAAGTTTTTTATGAAACTCTAATATAGTTGATGATTTTAAGCCATGAATTTGTATAGTAATACGTAATTTGTTTGTTGCTAGACTTGTATCTAATGCGTAATTTGGTACTACTGAATTATCATCACGACTTGAATATGCCATAATTTGAATAGATCTAAAAGTAAACCGGTGAGATAAGAACAAAAAAGGTGATTACTAACGAGGTTGATCAATGTAATAATGAAACATTCACTGTCAGATATTATTGATACAATGGCGCTGGACACGCCAGAATTTAAAAATAAATGAAATAAAATTCCACCTGCTAATAGATGATGTAAGTTCGGAATAATAATGTTGAACGCAGTGTAAGTTGTTTTTGATGATCGAGAAATTTCATTTAGTCCGTTTCTTAGCATAAACGTACGCCTAACCACGGATGTGTATAGGTTTAAGTTGCCACACACCACATCAGACCAGTTGTAAAGGAAGCTGATAAGATGAGTAGAAGAACTGAACCTCCTTAGACGAGTATCAAAAATTAGAAAATACAGCACTAAGAGATGAAATTAAGTCGAAGAATGACGAATGACTAATCAAAATTGACTCAAGATCGATATCATAAGGAATGCCAAAGCACCATTGCGACTGATCTTGCGGTATATCACATAACGTCTTCAACCGTGGATCCTGAATAACACATGGGCTTCAACTAGAAAGGTCTGAGCACAACAGCACGATTCACACAGCTAGTCAGTGACTATATGAATTCATGACAAGTTTCTATCTGCTTACCCTGGTTTTAAACCTACTACGTTATCAACAAGCATTAAAACTAGGGATGAACGGCTACTTTAAGTGGACTCCAGGATATGCCAATCGATAAGAATTTTAGGAAAGTCGTTTAGATCCATCTTGAAATATTAACGTGAAAATGTAATACAGAGAAAGTGGCCACAAAAGACATTTTGTTTAATCGAAGCTTTCACCGACAAAAGACTCATATTCAAGAGCGACGGAGCATTATAATGCTCTACAAATGTCATAACATTTTCAAGCTCATAATAGGATGTTTTGAAAGTAATGATAAGAATCCAAGTGGTTATGAATGGAATAAAGGAAGTGGTGAGACTATAATTTATGAGAGACTTTAAAACGATATTAAGGTGGACTAGAAAGACTTCAACCAATTACTAGGACCAGGAAAAGTTTAAAAATAAATGTGAGGAATTACAATTAGCTGTTTGTGCTTAAAGCTAACGATTCAAGTCAGGTTTTCTACCACGAACCGACATCAGCTATAATGCCAAAATGCTATCTATTCAGATGGATTGAGGTTCGTGCGAATAATTAAGTAGTTTTAACTTTAATCTCATTAGTCCCTTCATAATTCATAGTCCCACTATATAAGAGGCAAAATAGAGATATCAGTCAAGAAGAATGACGTACTATCTTGAATCCTCGGAATGTACCCAATCTCCCTATTTTGGGGTTTTCCCCAAAGCTTGAGGAAAACAACAACGTTTTGGGGATGTAATGCCGAAACTTGCCAAACATCACAACTTAATCAATCTTTAGACACTAAAGCACTTTATACTTGGAGTTAATTGCAGACTAAAAGCAATTTTAAACCAAATTTACGGTATCTCCTCACTGTAACGCCTAACTATATACAATTTGCGTCCCCCAAGGTTAGCCAATTTCAAAATTCAATAACGAACATCTTTGTGACGAGCTTGTATGAAAGGATCAATTCCTTTGCGTTCGCTCTTTTGTGTTTCACTACGATTAAACGTCTTCATTAATGCTCAGTTAGAGGTGTTCAGTCATTCAACTCGAATATTTCTAGTCATTTTAGTAGATATTTATGTGTTTGGGTATTATGTTTGTTCCACAACAGTATGGTTCCTGGCACTATCAGCTACCGCATTACCACTCATTGTTTGATTGGCTATAGTTTGAAAAGGAAAAAAGAAAAAATCTGAATGTAGGAGAGCTAGGTGAAATTGATCGTTTAAAGAGACAAATAAGTGAATCAATTAATTATGCCAAAGATTTGAGAAACCCGAAGTGTAACCACAGGTAGACGGAGTTGAGGGTTAAAGAGATAAGACTAAAGTGATGATATCTGATCATGATAAAAGCAAATAAATTACAAGATATTCATTAGGGACCGCTTTTCTAAACAGGAGATGAAATTCCATGAGCAATCATTATCAAATATCCTCGTGAGGCAATAGCCTTAGGTTGCTGTAATCCTTTCTGCCAGGACAGCATGCTAAATTATCGAAGCTGTCATCAAAATAGGCGGAAGTACACCCGAGACTGTACTGTGTGATATCCGATAATTTTGGGATCGACTCATCGACCGTGTTGGTGAGGTTTTGGTATGATATATGTGTTGGGGTGGCTTGGCTTGCTCAGTATGTTGTATGCCGTCGTCAGTTTACGTCTTATCCTTTTACGACTCAGAAAGGATAACCACGAACATTGAAGCCTATCTTCATAAGATTTCTTTCTCATCACTATCATGAATTTTCCTATTCTTTAGTATAGTCGGTATATGAAAATTATCACTGATTTGCATTTCAGAATCAGCTGAGCGTCAGCTGAGTTGCATAAAACATTGCTCAGGTATGGAAAAGTGAAATACCTCCTCTGGTACTTTGATGATCTGGAGACAGAAAATATTATTTTTGATCAATCCAAGTTATTAAGATAAAGCACATCAAATTATTCCAGTGGCATCGAACATAAGATAAATGGTTCATTATATTGAAAAACATAAGTCAATTTCTTAGTCTAAAAATGCTACAGGTACTTTTTTAAGTCCGTAGAAATGAACTTATTGAGATTTAAAAGTTGCTTAGGAATTATTTCTTAGCAGAGACCCCTAGGAAAGTTTTCATAGTTGGAGTAACTTGAATAAGCTTGCAAACGGACACATGGTCCTCAATTAGCTATTGATCACCAACGTAGATGATCTGTGTCGAATGACTAAGGACCTAGTCGAGTTGGATGGGAATAGCTTGACCAACCAGCTGACTTCAAAATCACACCTCATGATTAGCCCTTGACGTGGATTACCCTTCCGTCGTACCCAGGTTCCCAGCTCAACTGGATCCATCGGAGATCGAGGCGGCACACACAGACCTTCCTATAGATGTCACTCCGACGACGATCGAAGAAATCAGGATGGACATCAGACAAATGAAGTGTATGGAAGCAGCAGGACCTGACAATATACCGGCCAAAGCACTAAAGTCAGGCATAGACGCCAAAATTCAAGACGAATAGACAGGATTCCGTAAGGATCGGTTATGTACAAAACAAATCGCAACGTTACGTATCATCGTTGAACAATCAGCTGAGTGGAACTCGTCACTAAATATCAAATTCATTGATTATGAGAATTCGTTTGACACTGTGGATAAAAGAACAGTATGGAAATTTCTTCGGCACCATGGTGTACTTGTTATGACCGTCAATGTCATATGGAATTTACACAATGAACAACACCGCAAAGTTGCACAAGGAGGACAGGTGACAGATGCATTTTAGGTGAGGATCAGTTTCAGACGAGGATGTTTGCTCTCCCCCTTTCTCTTTCTTTTGGTGTTTGACTGGATTATGAAACCTCCATAACTGAGAGGAATCACGGAACGCACTGGACAGTTTGGATTCAACTAGACGATTTGGACCTCGTGGATCACCTAGCCCTTCTATCCCATACACACGAACAAATGCAAATGAGGACAACTAGTGTAACAGCAGTCTCTGCACCAGTAGGCATTGACACACCAAAGGGAAAAACAAACATCCTCAAATGTAGAACACCAACTTAATCACACTTTATGAGGAAACAATAGAAGACGTGGAAACGTTCATGTACCTGAGTAGCATCATCGGCAAACACGGAGGATAGGACGCAGACGTATAGGCGACGATTGACAAAGCAGGGACAGCATTCCTACAGTTGAAGATCATGCGGAACTCAAAGCAACTGTCAACCAACATTAAAGCTAGAATCTTCAACACAAGCATCACGATAATTCTGCTGTACGGAAATGAAACTTGAAGAACTACCACAATGACCATCCAAAAAGTACAGGTATTTACGAACAATTGTCTACTCAAGATACCCGATGTCCGTTGACTGAATACCATATGCAACAGTCTAATGTGGGAAAGAACAAGCCAGTGGGAAAAGAAAAGACGTTGGAAGTGGATAAAAATACATTGAGAAAATCACCAAACTACATCACAAGACAAACACTTACGTGGAATCCTTGAAGGAAACGGAATAAAGGAAGGTCAAAGATTCCGCTAAGCCGAGAATTGGAGGTGGAAACGAAAATGATGAAAAGCAACTGAAAACAACTGGAAAGGATTGTTCAGGACAGAAATTGATGGACAATACTGATGGGCAATCTTTGGTGAGCCTCGATTTTTTTTATAGACATTTACCTTATATATCTACATATTTTTTTAAAATTATTATTACCTGGCACGACATCGTTTTTGTTTTTGTCATTATGAACTCTCCGGGTAAACTTATTGATATTGATAGTTCACCGACCAACCTTCTAAACTCTCCACAACCAGAAGATAATGCTTTAAACTCGATCAACGCTATCTCAGAGTTAAGATTACCAACGTATTGTATTAATAATCCAAGAATCTGGTTTGCTCAGATTGAAGCTTTATTCATGGCTAGAGGCATAAAATCTCAGGCATCAAAGTATGCATACGTAGTCGGTGCACTTCCTGTTGAGATTGCCGCTGAAGTTGGAGATTTAATCGATCACGTGCCAGAATCTGAATCATATGATAAGATAAAAGCAGCAGTTGTTCAACGCACCACGGTCTCAGATGAGAAAAGGCTGCAACAATTGTTAACATCTTGTGACTTGGGAGATAAAAGACCCTCTCAACTTCTCCGTCACATGAAACAACTCGCTGGTCCATACAAGCTAGACGAAGCCCTCCTAAAGCAAATGTGGTTTCAAAGATTACCACACAGCGTTAGACAAATTCTCAGCGTTTCAGGGAAATCCGTCGCACTTGATGACTTAGCCGACATGGCGGATAAAATGATGGAAGTCTACCATGATAGTCACGGTGTGAACTCATTGCAACCACCTGGACCACTAGATATTAGCTGTTTAGCCTCCTTTCAAAAGCAGTTAACGCATTTAACGAGCCAGCTAGCGTCTCTGCAATCAACCATAGCAACCATCCAAGCTAGACAATCGAGACCCCCCTCCAGACGAAGATCTTTTTCTAGACAACGGTCTCGGTCACCGAAGCGAACATCTGATGTTTGTTGGTACCACCAAAAATACGGCACCAAAACACGGCGTTGTACACGACCGTGCACATTTTCTGCGTCTGACAAAGAGAATCAGGGAAACGGCCCGGCCAGACAGTGATGGCGGCGCCTGTTTCTGGCCACTACACGAGCCGTCTATTTCATGTCAGGGATCGAATTTCGGGCTCAGATTTTTCGGTCGATACGGGAGCCGAAATGAGCATTATCCCATTACACCTCTCTCAACGACGGCACCCTCAGAGTACTAAATTGTCTCTAGTCGCAGCCAATAACACAGTCATTAAAACTTATGGCGAACAATCACTTATTTTAGATCTCGGTCTCCGGAGACGTTTCACATGGGTTTTCATCGTAGCTGAAATCAAACAACCCATTATCGGGGCCGATTTTCTCGGTGCTTACAACCTACTTGTAGATATGGCAAAAAAGAAACTAATCGACAAAAACACAAGCTTACAGGTCAGTGGCACAACTATCTCCAGTTACGAAATTCATGGAGTCCGTATGTTAAGACCTGAAAACAAAATTTTCACCGATATCCTGTCGAAGTATGAAAGTATAACCAGAGCTGATTACCAAAACGAATGCTCCACACATCATGTCCAACACAGTATTACTACTACAGGACCACCTATCTGCGCCAGGGCGAGAAGACTCCCTCCAAACAAGTTGCAGTTCGCTAAGAGAGAATTTGAACATATGATGCAACTTGGGATAATCAGACAATCTAACAGTCCTTGGGCCTCGCCGCTGCATATGGTTCCCAAGAAAGATTAAGACTGGCGCCCATGCAGAGATTATCGCCGTTTGAATAACCAGACTATCCCAGACCGGTATCCGATACCCCACCTGCATGATTTTTCTTTAAATCTACATGGAAAACAGATTTTTTCAAAGTTAGATCTAATCCGAGCATACCATCAAATACCGATGGCACCTGAGGATATCGAGAAAACAGCCGTAATCACACCTTTGGGCTTGTTTGAGTTCTTGAGGATGCCTTTCGGACTAAAAAACGTCGCTCAAACGTTTCAGAGATTTATGGACGAAGTAACTAGAGGTTTGGATTTTGTGTTTGTCTATATCGACGATGTTTTAATCGCTAGTTCTTCCACTGAAGAACATGTTCAGCACTTACGCTTCTTGAACGTTTCAAAAGTTATGGTGTTGTAATCAACCCTTCGAAGTGTATATTTGGCGCCTCATCTCTGGAATACCTGGGACACCACATTGATTCCCAAGGAATTAAACCACTTGAAGAGAAAGTCAAAGCCATCTCCAGCTATCCAGAACCAACCTCAGTAAAATCACTACGTCGTTTTTTCGGAACATGTAATTTTTATCGACGATTTCTACCAAA